CAAGTATTCGGGTACATCACTCATGAAAAGTTATACAGAGAGTTAGTTGTAGAAAGCACATATATCAATAAGTGAAGATTGTCCCTCAGTAATTGAGAATTTAGGGTAGGTTGTTCATTGAGATAATACAATCCATGAGGAAAGTATTTCAGTTACTTTCCCCACTGCGCTTCTCATCAGCACTCCAGCTCATCCCTCCTGGTATTGCCGATGTCCGGTGTTGTGTTCTATGTAGCTGTCCCTTGACCATCTGATGGCGTCCGACACCATGAGTTGCTGCATCAGCCAAGTGTAGCGTTGACTGATTCCGCATTCTCCCAACACTTGCTCGTTATTGCGGTCCCATGTGCCCAAGGCTCTGACGATCAGAACATGTGTCTGAACTTGGTAATCCTTAGCTCTCACAGTTTCAGCCAGAGGGGCGTATTTCTCCACCTTTCAAACTTGGGCATCATGGAAGGCTGGCATCCTGTTCTCGGAGGGCACTGTGACATCCACCATGACAATCCTCTTCCGGTCCTCACTGGTGATGACGATGTCCGGTTGCAATTGGCTGTCGGTTCCAGGGATGGCGGAGTTACTCCCCCACACCTGCCAAATGAATCAATGCCATTCCCTACCTCGAACACAAATAAAATCAATTAATGCTACCCCTCAACATACACACAAAATAAATAAATCAGTGTTGCGTTCTGCAATGAATAAATTAATGCTGGACCACTTTTCTTCTCCTCCTACCAAAAAAAAATTCTTATTAATACTGGGCATAGATACCCCAGATGCCTTACCAGTAGTAGAATCCAGACCAACCTCCCCAGCAGTGACCGAAGTAGTGCGGCCGTGTCTCTGCAGTTTTAGGAAGACTGCACTGGTTATACTTGGTACACATTTAGAAGGTTATCTTCACAACGAGGGTTAGAAACATTTTTTCAGAAAGTTTAAATTCTGCAGAAGTTGATTTCACTTGCTTAAGAAAGATTCCTTCTCCCCAGTGGTAAGTGGAGCACCGTAAAAATATGGGTGTTTCCTTGATCTGCTTCTGCCTTGGGACATCCTGCCATTAGGCTCTGGCTCAGGTATCTGGTGCAGAAATGGCAATATTTGCATTGGTAATTTAGAAATGGATTACTGAAACCTGTTATAGGGTCAACATATCCTGGGATTCTGCTTCTGTCATTTAAACAAGTTGTGCTAAGAGTAATTTCACAGCATTTGTCTTTAAGGGATAGCGTGGCTCAGAAGGAGTTGATAGTGTGGCCAATTTCAGTGTATCTTGGGCACTCTCCATTCTTTCAGAATGTTTTTTTAGATTTATTTGCAAGCCACGGGGCCCTGATGTTAGAAGACATACTCTGTGTGGTCAGCTTTGGGCTGCAAAAACATTTGTATCCCCGCCAGGCAGGTGACAACCCATGATGGAGTTTCCTTTTTATTATGTGAACCAGATCAATGATTTAGGTCCATTTGTGCCTGATTTTCAAAACTGCACATGTGCAAATGTGTGCCTAATTTGTACTTTCAAAACACCATGATTCCATATATAAATTGCATGGCAAAATACCCAGTTTCCATATGATGTTGTGGTAATTGCATACCACATTAGGCATGCAACTTCATGTGTGCAGTTCTGAAAAACATGCCCTTAATATTTATATTACTGCCAATTAAACCCGTCACATACACACTGAAGGCAAATTAGCAGAACATCAACCTTTAGTAACAGGAATCACTGAAGGGTCTTCATAGTCCATTCCCTTCTCTCCCCAACCTAGGTGTAAGGTAATAGATATGAATAAGGTCTTTTCCAAAGTTAAGGAGATAATGGCTCCATCTTCCTTAAAACTAGCTATATTTCTTCATAACATCTCTATGAGATTTTCTGATCAAAAAAATTTAGACATTTTTATTAGGAGATATACTTTTTGGTCTTAATAGACACACTCTAATTTCCTTCTTCGTTTTATCCATCTTTCATTTTGAACCATGTCTTTTTGTTGTTCATTGTTTACAAGATTAAGGAAGTCAGCCTGCTTTCCTACATTAACTGCCATGTTCACATTTATTCCTGTCTTTTGTGAAACATCATTTGCTTATGTTTACATACATTATTGCCATTAGGGTCAAGTGGATCCTCTTCCAGACAGGTATCAGTGCCTTCTTATTTGTAGTGAGAAGTCCTTGATGCAGCAAATATAACACTTTTGGATGTTCATTTAATAGAGGAAATCCTGAAGATAGCTAATTGGTCTTGCATTTCTGCTTTTTATGTACTTCTATGACTGAAACCATTTCCGTAATCATTAAAGCAGCTTTTAAGTTGTCACTGGATGCAGATCTTCTGTATCTTGACTTAAAATAGTGTGTTTGCTTTACACACAGTCAAACTTGTTAGGCAAAATAGGGGATTTATTGGTTCTGTTTTGAAATTAAGAGACAGGAAAGATACTGTATACAAACCCAAATATATGCCTTTATATGTAATTATTATTAGTACATATTATTATATGTCTAGCTCCTGTCATATGGGAGATGGATGATTTTTATGCTTAATATTCTAGATGTAGTATTTTCCAGTCACTATATGTTCTAGAGTTCTAGATTTATGTATTCAGTAAGTTTGTACTTTTATTAGAAGGCTGGAGTAGTTTCCACATTATACACTTTTATGGGGTGGGCACATGATGATAACTATGGGCCACTGGACTATGATGGAGGAATTATAATGTACTGCTTGTGGGGGTTTTTGTTTTTTTTGTTGTTGTTGTTGTTGCTTTTCTGAGCAATTAAAGGAAGAGAGGAAACACAGGATATAAAACTTCTAAGAAACTTCTGATTTTCCTGCAAATTTGAGAAAAATCAAACTTGCTTTTGGCAAGATTCTGAGAAGAATCCTTAAGTGGCATCACATCCCATTAACCATTCTGATACATTCTTCCAAACCGTCCTTATTTCAGAAGACAATATCAGACAAACACCTGTAATTTCAAGGTTTAAACCTGTTTTTAACAATATGAATAAAAACAAGATTTTTAGGAGAAAGCTTCTTTTGGCTTAGGAGGATGTTTGTTATTCTCCTGAACTCCTCCTGGACTATTTTTCATTGTTCAACTACTTTATAAATTACATTGGTAGCAAATGAGAATGAACTTTATCTTTACAGTTGATTTATAAATAACAAGTGAGCATTTAAGCAGTTTCCTTTAAGACAGTGGTTCCCAAACTAGGGGCGCCACTTGTTCAGGGAAAGCCCCTAGTGGGCCAGGCCGGTTTGTTTACCTGCCGCATCCGCAGGTTCGGCCGATCGCAGCTCCCAGTGGCCGCGGTTCGCCACTCCACGCAAATGGGGGCTGTGGGAAGTGGCAACCAGAATGTCCCTCAGCCTGTGCCACTTCCTGCAGCTCCCATTGGCCGAGCGGTGAACCATGGCCACTGGGAGCTGCAATCAGCTGAACCTGCGGACGCGGCAGGTAAACAAACTGGCCCGGCCCGCCAGGGGCTTTCCCTGAACAAGCGACGCCCCTACTTTGGGAACCACTGCTTTAAGAGATGTAAGATACAGGAAGCAATTTGCTCTCTATTGCCTATCAGCGAAGTGCTGGTAAGATTAATTTGCATTTACATTTTTTTAAAATCATGTTGTACCATTAAAGAACATAATACATAAAACATCTGAGAATGGCAAACCAACTCACAATAAGACAATACAATGCCTTTAGAGATGATAGTTACAAAAATTTCTTCTATTGGCAATTTCTGTCCATTTTCATTAAAATTGCTGTTTTCAGATAAGTAAGTAGTATGTATAGAATAATGGAGGCAATAAGGACTACCGAAATCTCTCTTTCGTTGAAGAGGAATTGTTTCGCTGTTGCTAGAAACTTAGTTTTTAGCACTTTAATCTTTACCTTAAATAACAATGCATAATAGCTAATAAAATAGTGATCAAAATGATCAAAGCATGTACAGGCAATAACATTTTTTTATATTCCATTGTTTTTAAATAGTCATTGGAAAACAGAATATTTTTTCACAAATGATATTCCCAATCAGCTAAATTCATAATATATTTCCAGTCTCCTTGAATTACCAAGAGCTAAAGTAAGTAGACACTCTTAAGACAAGAGAGTCCTGAAAACAGATTCCAAGTGACATTTTCAGGATTCAGAAAGTTTGGACGGTAGTTTGCAATGTACGGTAGGGTTTGGTTTGTTTGTTTGGGGGGCTGGGGCGAGGAGGATATTTTTAGGAGTGTAATGGAGAATCACTTGTCTCTTAAACAAGTTCAGATTGTTTCCACTTCGCTATATGTGAAGGAGACCAGGATTCTGTGGTGTTCTGGTAGTACACACTGATCATTATTTTTAGAACAGCAGCAGTTTTTAGCCTGTTCTTCATCTAATCCAATTTCTGTTCCTTTAGAGGGAGCAGCATATGACAGCAGTGAAGTTTGTGCACCGTATATGTGCAGCTCACAAGCGTTGGCATTTCTTTTGCTGTGAGTTGAAGGATGTGATAGTGCTCAGCGATCAGAACTGAGTGATTATTAAACAACCCCAAACATCCCCTGCACTTTTTCTGCTGTTCCTCTCTTCTGACTTATGTTTCAGGGATGGCTTTGACTTTTGAATGGCTTTTACAACTTGTAACAGCTTTTGTTTTATTTTATATATGTTTTAATGTAATTTCCAGTACCCCAAAGCTCAGGATGCAATGGGAAGAAGTCAAAGAGATTTTGTGTACCCCACCCCCCGGGTCAGGGTGCCATGAGCAGTGGATGTGTGTGGGATTTTGACCCTACCCCAAAGGGCAAAGTGCCATGGAGTGTGTGTGTGTGTGTGTGTGTGTGTGTGTGTGTAGCAGGCACACTTGCAGAGCATAAGGAGTCAGTAAACAGTGGGTGGGTGTAGAATTCTTGCACACTCCAGGGGCCCTGGACAGTGGGTGTGGGTGGGAATCCTGGCACATTTAAGGGGCGGGAAAGGGTCTGTGCTGAGGGTCACCAGCCAAGCTGTGTCTATTCAGTGACGGCAGTGGGAAGGTTTTCCTGGGATGTCATCCTGCTCGCTATAGATAGCAACTCCAAAGCTCCTTAAAGAGAAACCTCTTACCAGTCACTTTCCACAAATGGTACATACACCTAAAGGTACTTAGCGAAAATCCTTGAGAGGTATTTAATGCTAAAGTAGCTAGTCTCCTCAGTGTCTCTCTGAAGGCCACACGAACACACACAGGCAGGGTGAGGTGCAGGACAGCCCCAGGACCAGTGAGTGACTTTGCCCCAGCCAGGCTTTGCCACCCCAAGAGCTCGCCAAGATGTGTGACATGGGGGGCCTGGACAACCTGATTGCCAACACAGCATACCTGCAGGCCAGGAAGAGCACAGATGGGGACACCAAGGAGATGCAGAGGAGGCGCAAGAGCCTCTCACTGCCCAAGCCTGAGCATTGCACAGAGGTCAGGCAGGCCCTCCCGGCTGAGTATGAGAGCATCTGCGAGCAGCAGCCCATTGGCAAAAGGTTCTTCAGGGATTTCTTAGAGACCATGCCTGAATACCTGGTGGCCAAGGACTTCCTGGATGAGGTGTCCAACTGGGAGCTGGCGGAGAACAATGCCAAGAGTGGCATCATGCAGAGCTTGGTCACCAATTTCCTGAAGTCTGGCTCCAAGGGCTTCCTAGCCTTCATGAGCCCAGACCTGGCCAGCAAGTGCCAGGCAGCCACCGAGAAGGACTATGAGAGTATCATGCAGCTGGCCAAAGAGGAGACCAGGGCCTTCCTCCGGGACAAACCCTTCCAGGACTTCCAGAGAACCCCCTTCTATGACAAGTTCCTGCAGTGGAAAGTCTTTGAGAGGCAGCCAGTGAATGAGAAGTACTTCTACGAGTTTCGAGTGCTGGGCAAAGGTGGCTTCGGAGAGGTAGGGTGACTGCCATCCATCCCTTCCCTGGTCTAGTGGGTGGGTATGGGCAATGCAAAGAGGAGCCTATAATAGACTAGGAAGATGTCAAAAACCTTGATAAACTATCTTCCTCCTTGGGCAAACCAGTGTGATGTAACCCCTTCTCCACTTTATTGCCCCAAAGCATCCACATGCTGGTCAGTAAAGGGAACTTCTGAAAACTCCATCAGGTCCTCAAGAGTTTTGGGTAAGGATAAGACAGGCTCCCATCCGTGCAGAATAGGCCTACTCCCATTATATCCCCATCCAATGCTCTGTCAGGCTGATCACTAGCAATGCCCTCTGAAAGGATGGCAAGGTACACCTTGCTTCCTTAGACCCCATCCACCTCTGCTCTTAATTCATCTCCAGTCTGTATTTGTAAAGCCCCTTCCTTTCTCTTTCCATCTTGATCCTCTAGGTTTGTGCCATCCAGGTGAAAAATACCGGCAAGATGTATGCCTGCAAGAAACTGGATAAGAAGAGGCTGAAGAAGAAAGGTGGGGAGAAGATGGCTCTTCTGGAGAAGGAGATCCTGGAGAAAGTTAACAGCCCTTTCATAGTCACCCTGGCATATGCCTATGAAAGCAAGAGTCACCTGTGTCTTGTTATGAGCCTCATGAATGGAGGGGATCTTAAATACCACATCTACAACGTGGGAGAGAGGGGCTTGGAAATTAACAGGATCATCTTTTATTCGGCTCAGATCACCTGCGGGATTCTGCATCTCCACTCCATCAGAATCCTGTACAGGGACATGAAGCCAGAAAATGTTCTCCTGGATGATAATGGCAACTGCAGATTGTCTGATTTGGGCTTGGCAGTGCAAGTCAAAGAGGGGAAAACCATCACCCAGAGGGTGAGTGCGTGTTCATGGTGCTGGGAAGGGAGGAAGGGAAGCCATTCTATTTCTAATGCATTATGAGACCAAGCCTTAATTCCTCAGGATTTGTTAATTCCTTAATTCCTCAGATCTTATGTGGTCATTTCATTCTAAGTGACAGGTGGTAAGAGGATTTGGTTAATTAACTCTTTGTTGCTATGTGCAGTTAACACAACTTGTCTCCAAACAGAAATAAAAGAACCAAACTGGTCTGGTTTTTTTTGTTGTTGTTGTTGTTTTTTAATTGGGATATGCACTTAACTCAAACTAGCTATTTGAGAGGCACTATACTTTTCCTGGGCTACCTTGCCTCATCAAGGGTCTAACCAGGAGTGAATCATAAGTATAATCAGAGACAATCAAAGGTGTGATTCCTCCCCCAATCACCAACCATTATTTCAGAGGAATGGCATTTATCCCATTTCTTGTCAGTTTGTTTGGGGATTTTTGTTTGTTTATTTAATAGTATTATTGATGGTTCGTTGTGCTAAGTGTGCATGGTGCTGCACAATAAGTGAACTGTGTCAAACACACAAGTTCCTGCCCCATAGAGTTTGCAGTCTAAAGATCTGTGAAAGCTAGGTGAGAGTTTAAATAAAAGTGTGTATATCTGTAAGAGAAGGGTAATGGTTGGCTATTTTTTGCTGCTTCAATTAGAATGTGCAGCACATTAAGCACTACCTGTGGTGATTACAAATTGATCCAGGTTTAAAGTGATAATGTCATGGTGGTTCACAAGAAAGGTGTACTGTGTAATGTAGCACATTTGTCTCCTGCTGGCCAGAACACATAGACATGTATAATGAGTGAATGAATGTTCCATGTATATTATATATTTGACAAAAGGGCAGTTATGAAGTTACTTCTAGAGATGATACATCTGGAGCCTATAATTGTTTTGCATTGTACTTACATGGTACTTGGGGGATTTAAAATTTCCACATCAAACTCTCAGTAGGTTGAAGGTTGATAGACATAGTCTCAGTCAAGAGGAAAGGGCCCTTTATCATTCTTCCTCCCCCCAACTTTGAAATAAACACATTTTTAATGTTTTGCTGTGTACAGATAAGATGAAATTTTTATTTTGAAGACCAACTTTCTTTTTCCTGTAATTAATATTCTAATTGTCCATTGTTGAGTTTTCAGCCCAAGAAAAAAAAACAAAAAACCTGTTTTGTAGATAGAGGAAATCAAACATTGTGTTAGAATCTAACATTGTGTTAGTTGTGTTAGAATGTTAAATATGTATCGTGAAGGTATTATTTCAGTGACAGTTAAGACAGATTTGATTTTAAATGGGAATGTTGCTGACTATCAGTTCTTCTGAAGAGTAGGCACTTAACATTAGTTTTTGTTGTTAGCATTGTTTTCCTGACTGGTATGTATGTGGTTTTTTAGTTTTGGGGTTTTTTTTTCCCCATAAGATAATGTTATTAAATTGTGCTATAGAGCAATGATAGGTCTAGTCATGTTCTGGCTATCACAGCAGCAAAAACATGCAAAACCGTGGCTCCCAATGGTAAGGAGTTCTTGTTACAGCAACTGTAAAGTAGAGAGGGACTATTTATATTATATAATATATGCTTGTTTTGCTTTCAGTCTCTCTAAAATCTATGTTTAAAGAGATTGTTGTGTGGAAATGTAGCTTATATTTATCTATGTAGTTTTTATTATAGGTGACTGACAGCAACTCCACTAGTTGAGGTTGTCTAAAACTTTCCATTTTTGCATGTTATATGTGAGTGTATATTTGTGATGGTCTAATTTGATCCATAAACTTTATTTTACTATGAAAACAAAACATGCATGTGAGCTTTATTTTAGTCATCACATTGCATTTGATAGTGGCCAGAAAAATCTGTTTGTCCCTGGATTAAAACATACTGGATTATTTAAGAAAAAGTTGAGGAAAGTCATTTTAAATGATAGGTTATAACTAGGGCTGTCGATTAATCGCAGTTAACTCATGCGATTAACTAAAGAAAATTAATCGCAATTTAAAAAATTAATCGCAGTTTCAATCACACAGTTAAACAATAGAATACCAATTGAAATTTATTAAATATTTTGGATGTTCTTCTACATTTTCATATATATTATATTCTGTGTTGTAATTGAAATCAAAGTGTATATTATTTTTTATTACAAATATTTGCACTGTAAAAATGATCAAAGAAATAGTATTTTTCAATTCACCTCATACAAATACTGTAGTGCAATCTCTTCTTTTTGAAAGTGCAACTTACAAATGTAGATTTTTTTGTTATATAGCTGCATTCAAAAACAAAACAATGTAAAACTTCAGAGCATACAAGTCCACTCGGTCCTACTTCTTTTGTTCAGCCAATCGCTCAGACAAACAAGTTTGTTTACATTTACAAGAGATAATGCCCTCTTCTTATTTACAATGTCACCTGAAAGTGAGAGCAGGCATTTGCATGGTACTGTTGTAGCCGGCATTGCAAGGTATTTACGGGCCAGATATGCTAAACATTCATATGCCCCTTCATGCTTCAGCCACCATTCCAGAGGACATGCTTCCATGCTGATGATGCTCATTAAAAAAATAATGCATTCATTAAATTTGTGACTGAACTCCTTGGGGAAAAATTCTATGTCTCCTGCTCTGTTTTACCCGCATTCTGCCATATATATCATGTTATAGCAGTCTTGGATGATGACCCAGCACATTTTAAGAACACTTTCACTGCAGATTTGACAAAATGCAAAGAAGGTACCAATGTGAGATTTCTAAAGATAGCTACAGCACTCAACCCAAGATTTAAGAATTTGAAGTGCCTTCTAAAATCTGAGAGGGACGAGGTGTGGAACATGCTTTCAGAAGTCTTAAACGAGCAACACTCCGATGCGGAAACTATAAAACCCGAACCACCAAAAAAGAAAATCAACCTTCTGCTGGTAGCATCTGACTCAGATAATGAAAATGACCATGCATCAATCCGCACTGCTTTGGATTGTCATAGAGTAGAACCTGTCATCAGCATGGACACATGCCCCTGGAATGGTGGTTGAAGGGGACATATGAATCTTTAGCACATCTGGCATGTAAATATAATGTGATGCTGGCTACAACAGTCCCATAAGAATGCCTGTTTTCACTTTCAGGTGACATTGTGAACAAGAAGCGGGCAACATTATCTTCTGCAAATATAAACAAATTTGTTTGTCTGACCAATTGGCTGAACAAGAAGTAGGACTGAGTGGACTTGCAGGCTCTAAAATTTTACATTGCTTTATTTTTGAAGACAGGTTTTTTTGTACATAATTCTACATTTGTAAGTTCAACTTCCATGATAAAGAGATTGCACTACTGTACTTGTATTAAGTGAATTGAAAAATACTATTTCTTTTGTTTTTTTACAGTGCAAATACTTGTAATCAAAAATAAATATAAAGTGAGCACTGTACACTTTGTATTCTGTGTTGTAATTGAAATCAATGTATTTAAAAATGTAAAAAACATCCAAAAATATTTAAATAAATGGTATTCTGTTATTGTTTAACAGTGTGATTAATCACGTGATTAATCATGATTAATTTTTTTAATCGCTTGACAGCCCTAGTTATAATATTGAGGATCTGGTATTAAACCAGGCAATGAGACCCTCCACCACTTGTAAGCACATTTAGTTATCCTCTTCTAAATTACTTTTGAATGGCTCCCATTTGAAATTCTTTTCATTGTGGTTTTATATCAGGCATTTAATGTTTTCGTTATTTTAAACTTATTACTGTTAGTGGGCAGGAAGAGAGAGAGAATTTAGATGTATCTATCTCATTATTATTATTATGTTTCATACTTGTACTGTGATACATCTAGAGACCAGGGTCCCATTGGGCTAGGCAGAATTACTTTCCCCTATGGTCATTAATAACGTGTGGGTTTTTTATAAGTGAAATTATCAGTTTATTAGAATTATTTTTTTACAAAAAGGATTTCACCAGTAGGATATTGACCATTGCTCAAGTGTTTTCATTTGAGTAAACCACAATGGAATGGAATTCCTGGCGTGCTGGTGAATAATTGGTTTGTTGTGAGAAGTGAAACCAGTGGCTGAGTGCTTATAACCCTCAGTTTCATCACAGACACTACTAGTTTGTCATGCAGGAAGTTAATGGAGTTGTCAATATCCAGGAACTCTAAAGGTGATAAAAGTCTCCTCCCTTTGGAAAAAACTGAAGTGATACCCATGACTAAAATAGGATTAGTTTTTTTAAACAATTACCATTTATGATGTTAAAATCATTTGTAAAGAGCTTTGAGATCTACTGATGAAAAGTGTTGCATAAGAGCTGCAGACTTGAATCTTACCACTGGCAGCTCAAACCCTTTCTTTTCCTTAAGTGGCGTGATATAACATAACATAAAGCACTTTAAATTTAAAATTATTTGTATTATGATTGTAGCATAGCTATGATTCACATAGCTGAAGTTGTGTAACTTAGATCGATCCCCCCGCCCACTGTAGACCAGGCCTTAGAGTGGTAGCCTTTTTAGGGCCTGTAACAGAGCCGGCTGCTACCCAAACACCCCCTCACGGCCAGGTGTGCCTTGGCTGTGCCTCCTGGCCCTGTTTTCGACAAACTCCACTGCTTCTCTTTCAGTCACAGCCCTTCTTAGAGTGTGAGGTCTTTTTAATTAAATTAATAAAGTTCTCAGACACAAAAACAGTCTTCCACCCAGGCTTAAGCTGGGCACAGCCCCTCCTTCCACCTGAGGAACTGTCCCTTCCTCAGGGACCACTGCAGGAGACCTCTCTCCCTGTAGCTTCACTCTGCAGTTCCCTCATTGCAAAAGTGCCATCCCTGCAGCTTCCTGCTATGTTTTACTTTGGGATCACCTAATTAAATGCATGGGTGTCTCATCCTGTAATCAGAGCTGGCTTAGCCCTAGGCTCTCCAGCTCATGGGCAAACCACCCTGTTACACCCTGAGACAGGGCGGTGATTTTTTTC